AAAGCAGTGCTCAATAAATAATAGCTCTTATTATAACAGAAGGTACTCAATAGATTTCTACTGTCTGGGTTTTTGTTTTGCTTTTTTTTTTTTTTTTTTTTAATCTTATAAAGCTTAGTCACAATGAACTTTCTCCCTGCAGTACCAACATTGTTCCTAACTGTCCACTCCCAACGTCTAGCTATCCTGTAATCTACGTGAACTTTATGAAGACCTGTATCAAAATCCTCCAATGGGTTTTAATCCTCCAATGGTTCTAACCATCAACCAGTCAACCAACCTGTTTGGGCTTCAAGGAATCAACCGGTCTTTGTCCTATCAGCCTCCTCCATGCTGCACAGAATAAAAATACAGCTCAATATTTTCACGGGCTTCTCTACCCTTGGAATACTGCACATCCTTAATCATGTGACCCTAAAACTCAAGTAGTCCCCTACCACAAAACAAATGTGATTACTCTTTTCTTTGAAATACCACAGCACTATATTCCCCTCTTGGGGACAGCATACATCTAATAGGTATAAATGTGTTTGTCATAGTCTTCTGTAATTCACAAACATTGAGCAGAGGTGAATCTGTCAGACTTCACAAGACCAGAGGATTCAGATAGACTCTTAATACATTAAAATTTTTCCAAACTGAGAGGTAAACAAAGGAAAGTTTCTTTTTTTTCCAACTTTATAAGTAGAAATCACACCATTCTATTACAAAGTAATATGTAATTTTCACCTCTGGGTCAATCATCAGTCTAAATCCACTCCAAACAGATTTAGCTCACACTATATCTTTCCTGTGAAGCACACAAGCATTATTCTAAAATTTCTCACAAGAAAAATGTGAGAAAACAAGAGTATTTACTCCCCCCCTTCTCACAGAGAATAAGGTAAGAGCTGGAAGAAAGCATTTGTTAAAAAAAAAAAAAAAAGGGCTGGGGATGTGGCTCAAGCGGTAGCGTGCTCGCCTAGCATGCGTGCGGCCCAGGTTCGATCCTCAGCAGCACCACATACCAACAAAGATGTTGTGTCCGCCGAGAACTAAGAAAAAATAAATAAATGTTAAAATTCTCTCTCTCTCTCTCTGTCCCCCCCCCTCACTCTCTCTTTAAAAAAAAAAAAAAAAGAAAGAAAGAAAAGAAAAGGACATCAGGTTCAGTTAAACCTGTAATCCCAGCAACTCAGGAGGGTAAGGCAGGAGGTTCCCAAATTAGAGGTCAGCCTCAGCAACTTAAGAGAGGTCGTAGTAACTTAGCAAGACTGTCTCAAATAAAAAATAAAAAAAGGACTGAGGCACCCTAGGTTCAATCCACAGTACCAAAAAAAAAAAAAAAAAAAGTGCTAAAGTACTAAAATAAGGAATGAAGAGCAAGACCAAAGCAAAAACAGAGGTACACTCTTTCTGGTCCTTCAGTTTTGAAAACAGATTGATAAATTTTAATAATTTCACTTTTTTTTTTCATTTTTCTCTGTCCTTCTGAGACAGGACATACCTAGAAATCAAGATTAGTATGAATTTGTACAAGCACATGTAATAATATCAATGGGTTAAGAACCCTTTAATCTTCTTTGTATCTCACAATATTCCTTTACCAACATCTAAGATGTTCATTGTTTACTCAACAAATAACTTGACACCTACTACAAGCCACAAAGTTAGAGAGAGACAAAAGGAATCAGACCCTGCCTTTGAGGAATAAGAGCCAGATCTGAAATATTGGTGGTTACACATACAATAATGTTAATGAATGTTCTGGTTATACTTTGAGAACAGAAGTCTTCCCATATTCTAGGGACACATAAGTGGTGAGGCTCCCAGAGGCATCTCTAGCTTAGAAATACCTATGCTAGCTTCTGGATCTGATACTGGAACCACAAGATGACACAACAGGGCTTAATTATAAATAGGAAAATGACATGATCAAGTTACCTGGGACAGGGGCTGGGGTTGTGGCTCAGTGGTGGAGCACTTGCCTTGCATGCTTGAGGCACTGGGTTCAATACTCAGCACCACATAAAAATAAATAAACAAACAAAATAAAGGTAAAGTTACCAGGAACACTAGGGAAAGATAATGGGGTTGGAGGAAGTAGTGATTTGTTCCAAAGTAGATCTCAGAATTTAATCATTCATGCAATAAATAAACGAAGAGGAATTAGATGGGAAGGAGAAGTCAAGAACAAAGATATCCAGGTTCTTTTGGGAAAGAGAAAAGACAACATTCACAAAAACAGGGAACACAGGAAGAAGTGATTTGGGAGGAAAGGTGAGTCCAGATTCAGATGTTTTAGATTTGAAGGACTTGTCATCCAACCAGGCAGAGGTACCTAGCAGACAGTTCACATCCAAGAGGAGAAACAAGGCTACCACCAGAAAGGTAGGCAAGAGCTAATAATAATAATATTTTTACCCTAAAAATAAAAAAAGTCACCCCCAGAGAAGGAAAAAGTGACAGAACAAAAAGGACCAAAGGTAAAACCCTTAAGGACACAAGCATTCAATGAACATAGAAAAAAAGCAATGAGAAAAAAATCCCACAGAAAAGAAAATCAAAAGTGACATCAATGCCAGGGTAAGGCTCTCATGAAGAGAAAACTAGAAAACAGAATAGTAAGTCAGAGATTAAAGACTAAAAAGTGGATTTGGTAATTAAGATGTCCTTTGCAAAAATTAAAAATAAAATGAACATACATTTTACACATACTTAATAAAGGATATGTACTATATCAATGGCTCTCTTTGGATGACAGAAATAAGGGTGATTTTTGATTTATTCTCCCACCACACACCTTACAACTGTTCCTCAAAAAACATGAGTTTTACAATTTAAAGAAGTTTCAACAAAAAAATTACTAACAACACAGTCATGTCCTATGCCAGTGACTACAGTGGGTAGAAGACTGAATGAGAAGCAAGAAAAGGAAGGAGACTAGAGAATGGACAGGAAAGAGACTCGAAAGCTTCTAGAGTAATAATCCTGTGAAAAGTTTTGTTTCCAATTGGAAACAATCTGGTCTTGCTGACAAGCTCTGGAGTGCCAGACTGTATAGAAAGAATGTTCAGAATCCAAGAAACAGCAAATACTTCTCTATTGCCTGCTCTGATCTGAACATACCGGCCACAGACAAAATCCTGCTCTCAGGCAGCTTGCCTTCTACGAAGAAAACAGAGAACGATAAATACTAACATCAGATAAGTGAAATATGCCAGGGATAAAACTAAAATAGGATAATGTAGATTTTTAGGTTGATGTCAAAGTAGGCCTTCTCTGAGAAAACATTTTAGTGAATCCAAAACACGAAAGTAGCATTGCCAGTAGTGGGGAAAGGCCTAGTTAACTCTACAGAAAAAAAAAAAAAAAACTTAGGCTCAGACATTTTAGGTAAGACATTTAAGATTATACAGCAAGGAAACAGCCCAGGTCTGATGAGCACCCTGACCAAAAACCTTTCTACTACATTACCTTTTTAGTCAGCTTCCCTCAAATGCAAGGGTCAAGGTGAAAAATGACATTGACACTCCTCTGGCCTCACAGGGATGGAAAGACTAGAGAAAAATAAGAGTAATTGGCACAAGTTTCCCAAAAGAAACTCTGAAAACGAAGAGATGTCATTCTATGAAGGCAAGGCATGATTTCTGAAGGTTAACTGTTCAAGCCCGATACAAAAAGCACTAGTTTCCAAAGATTTATGAGTAAGTCACATGATCATAAAACAGGCCTGGGAGTATAGCTCAGTTGGTAAAGTGCCTGCCTCAAATGCATAAGGCCCTAAATTCAATCCCCAGCACCACAAAAATAAATAAATAAATAAGCAAGGATTTCCTTCTTTTAGTTTTATGTAGAGATCAGCTGGCTGGTGCAAAAAGGTCCATATAATCATTGTCATTATATAGCACTTACTATATGTCAGGCCCTTTATTAAATGCTTTATATAATCCCATGCAATACTCTAATAACACTCTTACCGCTTCCATCTTACAGCTAAGAAAACTGAGGTCTGGAGATGGTAAGTGATTTGTCCAATGGCATAATGCAAATAAACTGAGGAGCCTGCAGTCCAGACTTCCTCCTCCACACCCTCCCATTCCATATCATTAGCTCTCAGTCTTTATGCTAACTCTCAAATTACCTTTATGAACTCTTCCACCATCATTTCTCTCCAATGTTAAACTTAAACCTCCTTTCCAGGTAACTAGACTATTACTCAAATTAACACGTTCATCAACCTCCCTTATCCACTCCCGGCAAATTGATACCAAACCTTTCTCCCTATAATCTCAATCTAGGAGGGCATTTAATCACACATTATCACCCACCCAATTTTTAACGTGCCTTTATTTCGCCGGATCCTAATAGAGTACTTTGCATGTGTTCACTCACTCATTCAATGTCAGATTCCACTGTGACAATTCCCAACCCACCTTCCTAAATATGGAAGAAAAATTCCATTTAAGAAAACGCAGGCAAAAGCCCAAAAGGATCATAATCAGATGTCCAGCTCTAAACTATCCCTGGGTCATCCAAAACTCCCAACCCATCTCCCCGGCCCAAAAAAAAAAAAAAAAACTAAAGTTTTCGGGTCCTAAATACTACACGGTTACTAATCACCAACACTGAACCCACGTGGGACAGCACCCAAGCATGCCAATCCTAAAGAGGGAAACACCATTGTGGGGATCGGGTGGTGTTTCCCTCTTTGACCCCCACAACAGCCTTCAAAGGCCCCCTCAGCTTCACCGGCCCTGAGCAGCCAAAGGACAGAAGAGACCCAGTCCCGAAGCAGAGAGGGCAGCAACAAGCCGGAAGCTAGCCTTGCCCATGGCCATGACCTTCTGGAGACGTACGACCCCGTCACTAGAAAACCCTGGAGGAGCGAGTGGTCCAAAAGCCCCAGGAAGCTAGGTCGTGGGGCAGCTAGGAGCCTGGACCGGTTAAAGTCGGGCCCAGCTCCGGCAAGCGCAGACGACCCCGCGGAGCCTGGCTGGAGGCAGAACCCGCGCACTCACCCCGCAAAAAGCCGGGCGCGAGCGGCGGGCAGACAGGGGGCGGCGTGCGGCCGACCTGGGCCTCCCGTGAGGAGACGCAGGGAGAGCGGGAGGGACGACCCGGCACCCAAGAGCCAGCGGGCAGGTCTCAAAAGGGCTGCCATGGGTCGGCAGTTCACTCAGCGGATGCACGTTCAGCCAGAAGGACAGGAGGAGCACGTGATGGCGGGGTCACCCGGCGCAGGAGAGACCAAAGGCCAGGCGCGCCAAGTGTAGGGGAATGAAGGGGTTGTTTTAGATTGAAAGATAGAAAAACCTATTTCTCAGAGGTCCAGGGAGTTTCGCCCAATAGTTTGTTAAACAAAATTGCTTGATTTATTATTTAAGGCATTTTCGTTTCCATCCTACTCCACTTATCTCAGCACAATCAGTCACTCCACCCCTGCGCTTCTCAGTTGGTAGAGTCCTCAGGAGGTCGACTCCTCCCAGGTCAGCGCAGGGAATTGCGGGGGGCCAACAGGAAAGTACCCGGAGACTCTTGAGAAGAGCCGACTATGAAGATCCCGGAGTGTGGGACAATTCTGTTTCTCCAATGGGGACGTTGTGAGTGACGCTCAGCGATTCTGCCTTCACGCCGCGGTTGCTGCCGCTCTGATAGGACCTGCCTTAGCTTCAAAAACGCGGAACAGAGAAAGCGTTGAGGACCTTTGCACTGTGCTGTGGGCCCCGAAGGTTAAATATAATGTGAATTTTATTATAGAGCCCTGGGGACAATGTAAAGGAATGTGCAGATCTAACTCTAAATGTTCTACACAGTGCCGTCTTTTATGAAATGAATGGATTCTAACAAATATCATCTAGTTTTAAAGCTGGAGTTGAACTCTTTTTCTTTCCCGCTTCTTCACTCTTACCCCACCTCACCTTTCCATAAATGCACCTCTGTAGGAGGTGTCTGCAAGGAGGAGTCTGCGCCCCAAACCTGGAGCAAGTTAAATATGTAACTTCCTTCACAGGGCTTGTAGATTGGAAGGGTTCCCTGTGCACATCTGGGAAGCTGGAAACAGGCTTCCACTCCCTCTTCATCTACTTGCCTCCTGACCATCGACCCAGGGAAAGCTCATATACTTTCTCTGGAATTCCCACTGTAATTTTCCATTTGACTCTCTGTCCCAACTGCTTGAGAAAAGAGACTGTGATCTCTTACTGTAGTCAAAGTACCTGCCCAATGCAAGGTGCACAGTAGGTTGCATTCAATATTTATTGAATTGATGGGTACTTGGAAATTACAGACCCTTTGAAAAATGAGGGAGCTGATATCTACCCCCAGAAAAAAGTTAAGTAGTTAATACTTCTGAGCATTAGAATATAATTTACTTATTCTCTCATTCCGCAATTATTTAGTGAACACATATTCTGTGACAGGCACTGTTTGAGATCCTGGGGATACGACACAAAACAAAACAGACCAAGTCTTGATTCTAATGAAACTCATCCCAAAGTTGAGTTTGAGAAGGCAGATAAGAACTGTGATTTAAAATAAATCAGGGGGCTGGGGATGTGGCTCAAGCGGTAGCGCGCCCGCCTGGCATGCCTGCGGCCTGGGTTCGATCCCCGGCACCACATACAAACAAAGATGTTGTGTCCGCCAATAATAAATAAATAAATATTTAAAAAATAAAAATAAAAAAATAAAATAAATCAGAGTGGAAGGATTGAGGGTGCATTAGATGGGAAAGATCAGGCCAAAAACCTCTTTAAAGAGTTACCATCTGTGGGCAAGGGGGAGGGGGGAAAAAGGAGAGAATTGAACAACAGCAGAGGAGGCAGAGAGGGAAGGAGGGAGGGAAGATGGGAGGGGAGGGGAGCGGGGATAGTAGAGGATAGGAAAGGTAGCAGAATACAACAGTCACTAATATACCATTATGTAAAAATGTGAGTATGTAACAGATGTGATTCTGCAGTCTGTATTTGGGGTAGAAATGGGAGTTCAAAACCCAATTGAGTCAAATGTATGAGAGATGATTTATCAAGAGCTCTGTAATGTTTTGAACGATCAATAAAAAAAAAAAAATAGTGGGCCTGTGGAACACCCTATAATCCCAGCTATTCAAGAGTCTGAGGTAGGTTTGCATGTGCTGTGCGGGGCCAGCCTAGACAACATATAAAGACTCTGTCTTAAATTAAATTAAATTACAAAGGTTTGGGGAAGCAGCTCAGTGGTGGAACTGTTACCTAACATGAATGAGGACTGGAATTCAGTCCGTAGCACTGGAAAAATAAATAAAAAATTTCCTTTACAGGAAAAGATCTTTCAAAAAAAAAGAGTTACCATCTGAACAAAGACCTGAAGGAAGATAGGGAGGAAGCCAAAAGGATTTTCTGGAGCACAGAATTAAGAATTTTCCAGTGTTAGAGAACAGCAAAAAATCAAGTCCTGATGCAAAACAAGTGTAGTCTGTTTGAAGAGCGGAAAGGAGAACTGTGTGGATGAAAGAAAGGAATGACTAGGGGGTGAACATGGAGGTCAAAGAGGTAGTTGGGAGCCAGATCATGCTGGACTTTAAAGACAGCCTTCAGAACTTATGTTCAGAATGAAATGAACATTGTGAAGTTTGGTGTTTTCTGTGGTATGAATCCATTTGCGTTTTTTAAAGGGTTATTCTGTTTGAGGAGGAGATTTAGGGCGGAAAGGGAAAATAAAAGAAGATCAGAGAGGAAGTTCTTTCAATAATTCAGACTAAGGATGATAGTGACTTGGATTAGGGAATGACAGGTGAGATGAGAGATCAGGTCAGAATCAAAAGAATCTACTTATGGATTGGCTATGATGTACAAATCAAGAATGACTCCAAAAGTTTTGGCCTAACAATAAAAGGATGGAAACTGCACTGATTTAAGTGGGGAAGACTCAGGGAGAAGCAGATTTAAAAGATGACATCCAGGGGGCTGGGGTTGTGACTCAGGGGCAAGAGTGCTTGCCTAGCATGTGTAAGGCACTGGGTTCAATTCTCAATACCACATATAAATAAATAAAACAAATGTCTATTGACAACTCAAAAAATAAAAAAAAACATGAAGTCCAGATGTGAAATTCGAGTAGGGTGTTGTCTAGAGGACATACAAGTCTGGCATTAAGGGGGAAAGTCAGAGCTAGAGATCCATTGAGTACTATATCCTGTCTCTAAGATTTGTAGCTACAGAATTGGATGAAAGCATCTAGGAAGAAAATGTAGTCAAGAGATGAGGATCAAGGACTGAGGTTTGTGATGTTTCAATATTAGAGGATGTGTAGATGAAAATCTTACAAAGAAAACATAAAGAACAGCTAGAGGAAGAGGAGAACAAAGGGCCCCCAATAACTAAGAGAAGGAAGTACTTCAAGGAATTAACCATGTAAAATGTTGCTGTTATCCCCAGGCTTGGTGGTGCGCACCTATAATCTTGGTGGCTCTGGAGGCTGAGGCAGGAGGATCGCAAATTCAAAGTCAGCCTCAGCAACTTAGCAAGACCCTGTCTCTAAATAAAATTTTTAAAAAGGGCTAGGAGTGTGGCTCAGTGATTCAATTTGCCCCTTGTTTCAGTTTCTGGTACCAAAAAGTAAAAAATAAAAAATAAAATGCTGCTGTTAGGTCTGGATAAAATGAACACTCAACATTGACACAGGGTTTGGCAACTCAGGTTCCCTAGTGATCATAAAAAGAACCATTTTCATGACTTGTTGAGTCAAAAGATTGTTTGAAGTGAATTTAAAAATATGTAGAAGAAGGGAAAGTGGAGACTGAATATAGACAAAACTTTTGTAGACTGTATTTTGAACGAAGGCACACAGAAATGGGATATTATCTAAAAGGAGGACGACAACGTGAGTGACTTATTTATGTTTGGTGTAAATGGGAATCATCTGCGTGTGACTATTTCATTTAAATTTTAAAAAATTAAAGAAGTTCTAGAATTCAGTCCCTTAGATTAGCTACATTTTGAGAACTCAATAGTCACACTGGCTAGTAGCGACCATATTGGACTGCACCAATAGAGAACGTTATCATAGAAAATTCCACTAACAGGAAGTGAAAAATTGATAATGCATGAAAGACAAAAGTAGAATACATTGAGCAGACAATGGGATGAAACTCAGTACAAAAATGAAAGGGTTGGCTTTAGAAAAGAATGTGCAATCCAGGCATTGTCGGAGGAGGAAATACAGATGCAATAAGGTATTGATGCAATAAAGTTGGTAGAAGTAGTGATGAGAATGAATGGATGTTCTCTTCTAGGTGTTTCTAGCCCTGAGAACCTTACCCCTCATCCAACATTCTTATTTTATTTTCCATGCTGGGGATTGAACCTGGGGTCTCACACATGCTGGGCAAGCACTCTACCACTGAAACTACACCACAAGCCCCAGGCTTCCTCTCAAAGTATGAAATAACTGCTAATCAAATTTGTCTGGGCATTCATTTATTTAAGATGAATTTATTCACTATCTATTGAACACCTGCAATCTGACAAGAAAAATATGTGGGTAAAGGCAGAAGTGATCTTTACAGTTGTGGGACTTAACATTACAAAGGGCAAAGGAGATATTAATCAAATAATCACACTAAATGAGTTACACAGGGAAATACAGATTCTAAATAAAAGAGACAGGTTTCCATGAGGTACTGTACCTCACCTAGAATACAGGGATCATGACATTGAGGGTCTTCTCAGATTTCCTTAGACATATTCCAGAAGCTTCATAGAGTTGAAGAGAACAACAAGGAGATTGTCCTTAGTTTCTCTTTTAAGTTATCCTGAACTATACAATGGACTTAAATATTGATTTTAAAAGGTAGAATCCTGGGCTGGGGATATGGCTCAAGCAGTAGTGCACTTGCCTGGCGTGCGTGCGGCCCGGGTTCAAATCTCAGCACCACATACAGGGATGTTGTGTCCGCCGAAAACTAAAAAATAAAAATGTTGGGAAACTCTCTCTTTTAAAAAAAAAAAAAAAGAAAAAAAAAGGTAGAATCCTGTTTCTGGTGAATAAAATAGCCTCAGAGCAGAATTGTATTAGGAAGAACATCTTAGAAGCCAGACAGCCAAAATACTGAACTCCTTGGTTTCCTTCCTTGTAAAATTGGTAATAATTATCTTTCCTCTCAGGCTTTTGGGGGAACACTAGATAAAATAAGTGCTTACTGTGACAGGCACATAAAAAAAGTCTCTGAAAAAATATTGTG